ATACACGTTTTATTGCGGAAAAATTTTAAGTTCCTTTGGAACTCTAAAAAGATACTAATTACTTGAGTTGTGGAATGGGAACTTTATGGAATTTTATCCTGATGAGTTCATGCAAACAAAGTCGCAGGCGAAGTTTTATTGATTTTTAGGGTTTCGTAGCCAAATAGCAAAAAACGGAACCCTTATAGATTCGACATGTCCGTCCGTATGTCACAGCCACTTTTTCCGAAACTATAAGAACTACACTGTTGAAACTTGGTAAGTAAATTCTGTGAACCGCATTAAGATTTTCGCACTCAAATAGAAAGAAAACAAGAAATTTTGGGGGTCCCCGTACTTAGAACAGAAACCCAAAAAAATTTTTTCATCAACCCATAAGTGTGCGGTATATAGATAGGTCTTTAAAAATGAAATGACGAGGTTTCTATTATCATTTTTTTCTAAACTGAATAGTTTGTTTAACTATTCAGTTTAGAAACCCCCCCCCCCCCCCCCTGTAACTTCTAAAATAAGAGACTGACAAAACAACAAAAAATATATGATATACATTACTATGCAAACTTCCACCGAAAATTGTGCATCATAAATCACAAATCAATTAAAAAATACACTATTATTAAATATCGATCAAAGATAACAACGAACTACAAGAACTTTTATATTATGTTACTTGCTGCTACGTAACCCTTCATGGACGAGTGCGAGTCCGACTCGCACTTGGCCGCTTTTTATATATATGTTTCTTCAAAGTCATAATAATAATTATTACATAATTAATAACAAATTGTTAGTGTAATAAGTCAATGGGTAGTGAAAAAAATATTGTCAATTTAGGCTTTCATTAATCCATTTTATTTAATTAATCATTAACAGTTCAGTTTGCGGATACAAAATATTAATTTTATAAATATTTTTTTATGTATACATTTCGATAACATTTATATAGTATACAAATGTATAAGATATAAATATTTTTAAGTTCACATATTGTTATATGTATACGGTATATACTTATATATTACAGCTTATAATTTACATGGAATTAAATTTTTTCGATTAGATTTAAACTATCTTACTAGAATTTTATGATCTAAATTGGCAAAAAACGAACCAAATATTAAAAAAAAAACAAATAACAACTTGGATGAAATACATTTAGGCCCACTTGCAGCAAATTTGAAAAATCTCGATCCAACCAAAATTAGATCTATCCCATAGTTACATGTTAAAACGTCAATATCAATTTAAATTTGACATCATTGAATAGGGTAGATTTAGTTTTAGCTTGTTTCATCTTAAAAAATATAATAAATTTAATAGGTAGCCTCTCCCCATAACAATATTGTGCAAAATAATAATAATACAAAACTCAAAACAAAACTTACAAACTCGAAATACAAACAAGCATACAAACTTTCCCAAAATAAAAACTATCAATAGAATTCCTAAAGTACCTTTGGGGCGGTGAAGACAGCGCCTACAGTCGGCAAGAAAGAATATGATCTTAACATTTTAATTTCAATGGAAAACATCGTAGATACTCCCGTAGCTTTATGTCAACCATAGACATAGTAGTCTAAGGCTTACCATCGTTTAGTTATTAGATAAACTTTTGATATTTTACTTGCTTTAAGAAAAACCTAAGTTCCTGGAAAGCCTATGTGATGAATGATTATATATACCTGTTCCTCATTTAGCTTAAACTACCATTTGTTCCCTCATATAAATGCGCACATCCGCCCTGACTAAAGGACTAAAGTACGTACGCCGAGCAGAGATAATTTTGTACAATGACCCCACGCTACGGTACTTTAGCGGCTGTTTAGAATTGTGGCCCATTTGTGTAACTACCCTTCCTCTGTGGTTATTATTTTTGATAATTGGCTAAGAAAGTAACATAAGTAACACAGACACATGAAATGATTAGGCTTTGAAAGGGATCACAGAAAGAGTTAAACTTAGGCTCAACTCACACTGGCGCAGAATCAGAGGCGCGTCATGTTTCCGCCTTAGTAATATCTTTAGTTGTGGGAAAATAGAGATAAATTTGCTACAGGCGAAAAACACGACACTTCGCTTCGTGTCGTTTGACTTTGCGCCAGTGTGAGTTGAACCTAAGTTCTACAATTAACCCCGCTCGCTGCATGTATGGTCCAAGTATGGGAGTTTCTGCCAAATGCGCGAGGGCACTATTATCTATTTTACGGCCGCTGTGTATGTCAAAAGCAACAAGCTGAAATATAAATATCGTTTGTCGTATCATATCTAATAATTGATACAATCTTTTTTTAACCTATACTAACAATATTTAATTTACTAAAAATGCATTTATCAGTTTGATCTCCTTACTGCAAATTGTGCGCTAATTAATCCAAAATACCGTTTAATTTAAGGATCATACCCTAAAAGTCTAAGGCCCATATTACAGTATGATAACTAAGTTTTGATCTTTACTTGAGTACAGTTAGAAAGGGATATCGCTATGTGCTATTTATAGCGACATCCCTTTCTAACTATGCTCAAGACTAGATCAATCACTGAGAATCTTTCTATAATACGGGCCTTTGCCTTTGTGTGAGTGGCACCACAGAGACATAGTCGCGGCACGATATGATGACCGTTTTAACACATTGCAATAAAGACGAGCAAAGTCAACCTGTTATCGAAAAAAACTATATAATCAAATTCGAGTCACATCTAGGTATTAAACTTTTTACCAACATTGCAAAATGTTGCTCATTATAAAGATTGAATAAAATGAAAACATACATTCTTACTCACGCTCAGCGATCCTATTTATAACGATCTTATTAATTTCATGTTTTTACATTCTGAATTTCGAACAACACAAATGGCGAGTTATGTGGCGAATAAGTACACTATAATTATTTGTACGATTTAACATTTCTTAATGATTATAACAATAAAACAATTATTTAAATTCACTTACTTAATCCTTTAAATTATGGATTTACTTAATCCTTTAAATATTCTGTCCGCTGTGTTTGAGTTAAAAATGATATTATATTTAATTGTTTTGAATTTGAAAAGGTTTTCGTAACCTTATTATAACTTAGATCATGATTTTATATAGTTTTGTAAAATTTAATTATAATAACCGATAAATTTTGTGACTAAACCGCGCGTCCCTAATGATAAAGAAGAACAATAATTATTTCTTTCAAATGAACGTACAAACGTCAAAACGGCTATCACAGCGTGCTGCTATTACAGTTAAAGTTAAATTTTATAAATACTTTAATATAACATGATATTCAACGTTAAACTGAAGGTGCAACTCACGCTTAACTCGACACAATTTCGATGTTTAAAGTGAGACTACGCTAATGCTGCATAAAATGACATCCCTCTTCGATATTAGAATCTTTTCCATTATCAATTTGCTCACTAATATTAAAAAAAAACTGAAACTAAATTACTGTTTGACGCTGTTTAGTTAGTTTAGTTTAGTTTGTGAAAATAATAGTCTCAAATGGTCATTTCACAAACACACAAGCACCAGTGAATTAACAATTTAATTATATGAAACATGCAAACTTTGCTAGACTCCGCTGAACACGACAGCCTGTTTAACAATAAAGGTAAAAAGTAGCTTCTGTATAAGCCAGTGACATTTATACAAAATTTACCAAGAAAACATACAAAGCATACATAAAATGCAACCATATCTATGTATATTTACTACTTACATATTTAATAAATAACAAAAATAAATAGCAGACCCTACCCTATTGTGTTTAAGCCCATTAAATAAGTAGTATTGCTTTTTATAATAAATAGGTATAGAATTTTAATATATTCACAAAATATACATTTTTATTAATTAGATTACAATTCGCTTATAATTTTATTCATAAAGATCGTTTGAAAGAGTGTAAAGATGTTTCCAGAATGCTCAGATGACTTCAATCCTTTAAAGTTTACTGTAGTAGTAATCATAATAATATTTTACATTGAAATCAGTGATGTTATTAAGTTAATCGATCGTCAATAAAGCAAATTGGATAACCTTTTTTCACTTTTCTAAATTACCTATAAATTATCTCTCATCCTTATAGGTAGAAATTAAAGCAGTGATTTTCAAAACAATAATTTACTGATTATAATTCATAATATATACTTAAAATAAATCAATAAAATATTATATGTATTCAGAAATTCATTTACCTATACACAACTACAACAAAACTTGATAGTTTGTATTTGAAATATTAAATAATTTCATTGGTTACACAATGGTAGTAATGTTCAAACAAGATGCTTTATAAAAAAACAGAATTATAAAAATATTGCACTATTCAAGTCATGACGAAGTCAATTTTTCCATTGACAAGTCAAATAAATATAACCTACCACTGACAATTTGTCATGTCTTTTCACTCAGTAAATATTACTTACTCTTTCAAAATTCATCAAAGAAAACAGTGCATATCACTTAGCACCCTGTACAGCCTCATAGTTCAATTTGTTTATGTCAGAAAAGAAAAAACAACTTATTAAATTAATCTTAATAAATAGACGTATTAACAGCATCTACATATTGGTGTTGATTCTGGCATGATTCTCTAAACTTAAAACTAAATTTATCATCAGTCTCTCCTTTTCAATCTGTATAGAGAATGACAAGGATATACTGTTGTCAAATTGAATTTTAGGTTGAAAGAATCATGGCAGAAACGACACCATGGTCAACTTTTTTCTTTTCAAATGAAGACAAATTTCAACTAAATAAAAAACGTATCTAACAATTTAAAATTTACTTAAATATAATTCGATGATGTGGAATGTAAACTTAAAGAGTCAGAATCACTGACCTGAGCATTTAATCGGGTTTTGCGGCCATCTTACACTGCGAGCTGGGCGGGAACAGTAGAAGGCGGACTTTAATCTGTACCATTTAGACAATAATTAAACAAATACGAACCCTAATAATTTTAAATAAGTTTATTTTGTGTAAAGATTATAAGGACCTGTAGTTTTCACTCCGCTTTTTCTTTAACAGGTTCCAGCTCGTCAGGGTTCTCGTCCATACTGGCAGCTGTGTCTGTTCGGGACTTGTCAACCGGGTATAACCTATAAAAAACAGTACCAAGCATTAAAAATACGGGAACAACACAACTCCAACATGACACATAATCAGAGGGAATTTTTGAATAGATTGCACTCGAAATGTAACTCAAGCGCGTGGCGCTTTTGAAAAGTGTTAAAAATACGCGATTTTGACATGTCGCGTGCTTTTTTTCATAAAGACCTTGGGACAATGTACTGGGAGGCCTATTGTCTAACACTTCGCAATCTCTGTCGAAGCTAATGTACCAATATGACATCATAATCTTCAGTCTATGAATGTCCCCACTGCTGGGGCACGGGCCTTCCCTATGGATGGAATAGAGATTAGGCCTTGTCTTGACAACTACGGGATTGATGGGTGCTAACTTCTACAGATGCAGCCGGGACCAATGGCTTAACGTGCTTTTCGAACCACGGAGCAGCTCGATATAATGAATTTTGGTCACCCATCCAATGACCGACCATAGCAAAAGATGCTTAACTTCCACGATCGCAAGCCAAACGCCTTGTACATGAACGCGTGCCAAGAAAGCGCCGCTACCGACCTGACCGCAGACAGTAGTTCACTATTTATACTTATTTTTTTCTTGGAAAAAATATTAACCATCGTTGGTACAAGTAGACCAAAAACACCAAGTCGTCCCGGAAGCAGGAGACCCTGTGAGCTGTCAGCATCGTGATGATGAACGCGAACACATCGTCGATGAAGGTATTGAACGCCTTGTACATGAACGCGTGTTAAGAAAGCGCCGCTACCGACCGGACCGCAGGCAGTAGTTTCACTATTTATACTTAATTTTTTTTGGAAAAAATACTGACGATCGTTGGTACAAGTAGAAAAAGAACACCAAGTCGTCCCGGAAGCAGGCGACCCTGTGAGCTGTCGGCATAGCAATGATGAACGCGAACACATCGTCGATGAAGGTATTGAACGCCTTGTACATTAACGCTTGCTAAGAAAGCGCCGCTACCGACCGGACCGCGGGCAGTAGTTTCACTATTAATACTTAATTTTTTTTGGAAAAAATACTGACCATCGTTGGTACAAGTAGACCAAGAACACCAAATCGTCCCGGAAGCAGGCGACCCTGTGAGCTGTCGGCATGGTGATGATGAACGCGAACACATCGTCGATGAAGGTATTGAACGCCTTGTACATGAACGCACGCCAAGGAAGCGCCGCCACGGAACGCAATCGATAGTTCACGAACAACTGCGGCAGCATGAACAGGAAGCCGAAGGCGTAGACACCGTTCACTACGGAGTGCAACGCCCACGAATACCAGCTGGCGGGAGAAACAAATGAATTCAAATTATAGAACTCTGCTGCCATAGGACGCCCGGTTAGTCATAGAGGTATAAAAATACATTCTATTTTTATACCTCTATGACGGGAAGGCGGCTCTAAAAGTGTCCGTCTAGTAGAAAGAGAAAGAAGATGAGGGACCGCTAGCTATTTCTCTCTCTCTTGTGACGCATGAGCAGTCGTCTGTCCAATAGTTGGTCCAAGCATCACATCGAAATAGTAAGATGTTTACGGTTGTCAATGCGCATGCGCGATTAGAGAGAAAGCTAGCGGTCTCTCATCTTCTTTCCCTTTCTATTAGAGACACTTCCACTTGTAGTAGAGTCTATATCTCCCCTACTCTATTCTTGTACCTCTATGGGTTTGTATGGTTACAGTGCGACAAGAATCTTTAAGAATATGAGTGCCAGGGAGGGCGCCACTGTCTACGTAAATGACTGTAAATAACATAAAAAAATATGACGTTTCAGAGACGGCTTTAGTTCAAATTTTCGTCACATTCATAAAGGTCCTTGTCGCACTATTTGTGTTTTTATTGCATGGACAGAGAATGGACTGAGCAATAATCGCACGAAATCGACAACTGGCTAGCAAGAGAAAGCGATCGTGTAGCTAATACCTATGCGGTTGCATAACTGCTTTATCTCCCTCAGTATTCTTTGTCCGTATTTAGGTAGTTTACATCTGGAAAGAAAACGTATCTGTTGTCTGTGTCTTTGGTTATAATGTGTATGCTGTTTATTTATTTTTCTATTCATGTGGGAGTGAAGATCAGTTGCATAGATAGTAAGTGTGGTGGAAATATGTGGTACATCCACTACTCTACTTTTAGACCACTCCTTTCATAGAGCTAGATTTGGACAATATCAGTGGGCCCCTACCTACTAAGAACCAGAATATATCCATCCATTTATACTAATCCATTCTAATATTATAAATGCAAAAGTGTGAAGAGGTAACAGACAGACAAACACAGTCTGTCTGTTACCTCAGCACGCTTAAATGACTGAACCAATTTAGAAGAACTCCTTTCATCTAAATTGAAATAATCTAAACCTACGATTTTTGCCCAATTTTGTAACTTAGTACATTTTTTTATAATAATTTCCTTTTATATTTTTATTAAAGAATTCGGTGTATTTTCCTACACACAAATGCACGATAATACTTGAGGTACAAGATTGGGCAGATTTGTATGGAGAATAGAATGGATCCTTTGGTATAGTGATTTAAGACCCGGGAAAGGACATGGTATATTTTTGAACCTAGAAATAACTGTTTAAGTGGGTGAAAAGGGCGATGAAAGTTTGTATGGAAAAACCATTTTTTTCAAGCAGACGAAGTTGAGTACGTTCACATTACGTCCACAGATACCACATAAGTATCGGCGCAACCTAAGCGTTCGAGTGGCCGCCACTAAGCCACTAGCGGCAGTGATCGGAGGCTGCGTCTAGTGGCCGCCACTAGTGGCTCAATGTGCACTTGCTGTTACGTTTGAATATCTATACATATAATAAAATTGTACGAAAGTCAAAACTGTACATTGAATATTTTTTTAAAAGAATACTTGGGGTGTGCTTTAATCGTTACCGAAGCCAAAAATATAGTTATTAGAATATTTGTCTGTTTGTATGTCCGGGATAAACTCAAATAGTACTGCATGGATTTACTTCAAATTTGGCACGCATATTGTTAAGAAGTCGGGTCAACATATAGGCTACATATTATCATGCTATCACCTACGGGGAACGAGCAGTGAACCTTTATTTCTAACTTACTCCACGCGTACGAAGTCGCTGGCAGCCGCTAGTTTTGAAATAAACAAAAAATACGAGCGAGCCTTACAGTAGTCGCGTTTGATGTGTAACATTTGAAACCACACCTTATATTAGTAAAAAAAAGAAATATAACCTACTACAAATGGAATAAGCCATTTGAACATTATGTACTCAAATCAAATCAAATAGCGCGCGCTTTCCAAACTTCCTGTTACACACGTCCGTCCCACTTCAGGTAATCACTCCCACAAATTGCATGAAAGCGAGAGGAAAGATGTTACACATCAAAAAGTTCACGTTACCTTTTATGCGGCTCGTAGATCAGCGAGTACACCGCTCCGGCGATGCAGAGCGGATATAGCAACATGCTCAGATATCGCATCGCCTCCGCGTCCGCCTGCGCGGTGCTGCGCTCGCCGGCATCCGCGGTCTGGTCGCGCCAAACGCGCAGCCTCCAACCCGCGAAAGATATGCGCAAGTGCAACACTTTTGTCACTTTCCATAGCTGTTAATGTAAGAGAAAATCATTATATTGACAATAGTACCCTTAGTACGAGTTTTACAATTACGAAAACTATGATAGTTTTCGTGAGCTCGCACTCGTACTAAGGGTACTGATTTTATTGTTTTCTTTTCAATACAAATAAACAGTGTTTAAATTCTATCATTAAATCATTTGCGTCTTCTTAAATTGTACGTATATTTGGTTACTTTTGAACAAAATGGACGTAGAAACATAATTTACGATTACGAAAACTATGATAGTTTTCGTGAGCTCAAACTCGTACTAAGGGTACAGTACCAATATCGAATTTGAATAGTTGAATTAGATCTAATTAGAAACGTCAAATATGTACTGATTTTTAGTTCTTGTTACGTCCGTTGTCTCGATACAAACTATTCGAATTCGATAATGGTTCGTGCTAAGGTTACTGAAGCCCTAACACAAATTGTGACAGCTCTGTAATCGTATCGTTATCGTCAAATTTTGTATGTACGAAGCCACGTTTGTTTTTTTTGTCCGGTACGGCAATGCTCAGTTTTCATAGAAAGTTTGGAGATGCGAAACGACTACGGAGCTGTCAAAATTCATGCTTGGGCCTCAGCAGTCTCCAATGTACGCAAGAGCAACACCTTTGTCACTTTCCACAACTGTTTATGTAAGACAAAATCATAATATTGACATTAGCAGTCTCCAAACAGCGAACAATATACGCCAATACAACCCTTTAGTTACTTCCCAAAACTGTTGGCATAAGAAAAAATACGTAAAATCATTATATTGACAACTACCAGCCGCGTCCGCGTTAATTTTTGTATTTTAAGAATCCTATAGGAACCTTAACATTTTCCGGGATACAGAGTATCCTGCGTCAATCTAAGTGATAAACTATTTTTAAATAAAATTTCATCCAAAACTTGAAATAATATTTGTAGAAAGAAGAATGCCTCCAATTCCAATCCTGTCAAGTTAATCTTAATTACACAAATGCCAAAGACTACCATAATAACTGATGTAATGTTTTCAGAGTTTAGTATTTTGATCTACATTTATTTTCTTAATTTAATTACAAGAATAAATAACAAAATTTGTTTATGTAAGAATGAAACAGGTACCATTTTTTTTTCAATTATGCATATAATAGGAAATAAGTAAACTAATGCAATAGGGAATCAAAATAAGTTTTTAATAAATTCAAGGACTCATATATTGAGTTCATTTTAGACATAATGATTTTGATATTATAAAAGCCAGACAGCTGTCACTTTATTATTTAATTTACCTGTACTATTTTTCAGTTTAAAGTTTGAAATATAGTTTTGAGTTTTAGTTTTTACAATCTTATAGATATGGATGAAAGAAAATTGTTTAACAAAGTAAGCCACACCAATATATCAATATTACCTCAATCAGAAGACTTATTCCTGCTGGTACCAGGACCAACATGGATGTCCTCTCATCCAATAGATAGAAGAATATGACAAATTGAGAGAAAGCACGCCAGAAAACTGTGCGCGCCGACAGGCCCGCCAGTGATCGTTTGCGACGCCAAAACGACACATCATTTTTGAATGCCAGAAAATCAAACAAGAGCTGAAAAATAAAATTAATTTATATATTAGTCAAGTTAGAAAAATAATGGATTGATATTGGGCCTATTAGGCATGGAGCTGTACCATGATTACTTACAGCAATTCAGTTTCAGTTGTTAAAGTATCTAAAGAAGTAAGACATCCATGCAGGGAGGGAAAAACAACATCCCACATCAGGGCCGTCTTGAACCTTTTGAAGTCCCTGGGCATATTAGGATAATGGGGCACCTATAACTTTGATGTGGATTATGACTTGAAATGGAGCGAGTCATACTGAAGAGTGTACTACTGATGATTTTTCTTTAAAATGTGTATGTGCTTAGTATACCATTATACTATGTATATTCAAATTTATCTAAGTATGCTGAAGTCGGAAAGCCTAATTTTTGGGCGAGAGTAGAATAGCTTAGCTTATGTATAAGCTAGTAAGTTGGTATTGTAGTCAGTAATTTAGGTTCGATTTTATCGAATTATTTAAGTTTTTAGGTAATAAATATTGGTTATTGTATGGTTATATGACAGGAACTAGGGACTTAGTATTTAATCTGAGGGAGGCCCCTATCGAGCACAGGGCCCTGGGCACTTGCCCAGTGCCCACTGGGAAAGTGGGGTCTGTCCCACATTAACAACAGTTTTTGAATCAGGTTTATAATTCATGATTTGAGCTCTGATAGGGTAGTGTAATCATAGGGAGCTCTAACATAGTACTTACAAAAATACAAAGCATTTAAACAATCAGTAGAATGAGCCTTGCCAAACTATATTAGTTGAGGCAAATCACAGCAAAACAAAATTATGGAACACAATTAAAATATGAATCAAAAGTTATTGGTAAATAAATTCATGTGTACAATCTAAATTCATTTTACAATTATATTTTATAACTATGACATTATGGGCTCAGTGACTGCTAATTACTTACATGGCAACTGGCTATACAGACTGTTGCTGATAAAAGGTAAAGATTTGTGTCTGCAAAAATTCCTTTGACATCATCCACATCCTGTTTGCTGAATCCAAGACTTTGAAGTTGTTCCAAAGCCAAACGTACATGTAAAGCTAATCTTAATGAACCATATGATGTGGGTGACAAAGATACTGTTATATTAGCTTCTGTAGTCGAACTGTTTAAAAGCTGGAGACTTGACATTCGAAATTTAAGTACATTTTGTTGAACTATTGGTAAAAACTTTCCACTCCTTACTCTGAAAGATAACATAAATAAAAATTTGTAGAAGTTGTGTAAAATAATATTTGATTTTTATAATATCAATAATTTTGTACATAATCATACCTAATGTACGGATATAATTCTGCCGGAATCTTCTTAGCTGGGAGATTCAAATCATCAGTCAAAATGGACAATGGGGCCACTTTTGTCAAATGAGCAAATGGCTGAATGTTTTTTTCTTTAATTTTCTTCACCTCTGTCTAAAAATTGCAAAAATTGTTATATTATTATTACTCCTCCATAAATAGGACCAAATGTTTATTTCTTATAATTTCACACACACACCACTCCTTAAATGATCATACTCTTGATACTGCATCCTGAAGGGATGCAAAACATAAGAGATAAGTAAAAAAGTATCAAAATAGCATTTTAAGCCTGTTCAAAAGCAATTTCATTTTATCACGGAATGTTTTCCTGACTTACATTTTTCTGAAGAAGGTTAAATGTCTCAGCTTGAGGTTCTGCATGTACAACTAAAGGTAGTGTATGTACAGATTCTGTACGATAGATTTCATCGAAGTCTTTGTATAAGCGGCTGTCATCTAACAATGCTGCATGCATATATAATGTTCCATTATTACGAGTTTTACGAGGAATTTTGAGAGTGATTTCGCTGAAATAAAAAAAATATCCCCAAAAGCTATTAAAATAAGTATAATACTGGGCAACATATATACCTGGGCAAATTGAGTTAAATTTACCAACATTTTATTGAGCTTGAAAACTTAAGAAACAAATTTGTTATTTTATAATCTATTACACTGTTTATAATACTTATAGAACGATTGACACTACAAAATTTTTTGATAAAATGCACGTTTTTTTTTATTAAAAACAACAATTACCACTTACATATCGGCAGGTTTTCGGTAGTCAAATTTCAAAGCAGTATGTATTTTTGTAACAGAATCAGTATTAATTCCATCGGCAAAAGGGTGTTCTTTAATAGAAGTAAACAATACAAGATGCTGAATCGGATCATTAGTTAGATATGAAGAAAAACATCTTTCGCCACGACTACATTTTGGAGGGATAAATATTTCCGCTAATGTCCATATTGTATTAATTATATACCCTGCAAAAATCAAAGTTAGAATCAAACTAACTGATATATATTTCATTACGATTATGGTTATTGCAATTAATTTATTAAAAATTTAATCTCCAACAGAAAGCCGATCGCAAATTGTTTCAGTCTTTGCAAAGCTGTCACTGTCAAAGATTGACGAATTTTTTATTTATTTTTTATATTAAACGCAAAACATTTTTTAAACAGACAGCCTAGTCTTTCATAACCACTACAAGTTTTTGAGCAAATGAATAAAGTGCCTACTAACTAGACAGTCTAACACTAACAGTCTCTCCTTTTCACTCGCTACAAAGTTTGATAAGGACAACCTGCTGACAGAATAATAAATAAGAAATCCTATAATGGTGCCAAATCCGGTGTGATTCTCTAAACTTAAAACTAAATTAAACATCAGTCTCTCCTTTTCATTCTGTATAGAGAATGACAAAGATATACTGCTGTCAAATTTAAGTTTAGGTTTAGAGAATCATGCTAGAATCGACACCAATATCCTATCCCATATTAGCTATGTGAAGTACCGGCATGAAATAAGTTACTAATCGAGTTAAGGTACGACTAAATGGGCCCTTAGAGAAATGGGCCATGCCCTGCGGGTCAATATGACGTGACGTGATTGAAAGATAAGTTAAAAACAAAACAAAGTGCATGGCAGTTTAGCCACACCTCTAAGCGATCGTTCGGCAACGGAAACACGCCGGCTACACATGCAAATGTGTAGCTATACCAAAAATATGTGGCTATTCTATATAGCCGTGCCATACGTAAAATATTTTCACGTATGGCTGGCAGCTTTAGACCGAAGCGAGTTGTGAGCATTTGGTCAAAACCATTTTACGTTCTAGCTCCAGTCCAACCGCCCTGCAGTCTCAATATCTTGTAACTAAAGGCCAAGAAGTTATATACCTAATGCCATTAGGTATATATATATATAGCTTCCTTGATAAAGGCAGTTAACTATTAACTATAATTATTATTCTTAGTATGGATTAGTACCTATAGACAATGTTTGATATAGACCTCGTTGCTGAAATTACTGTATGTCAGAGTGGTCAATAACAAATATGAGAGGAATACAACTATCCAGTGCTGTAAAAGTTTATTTTAAAAAGAAATTTTATCACTGGGCGACAGCGACAGAAGAACGTAGGTACATACATCCTACCTACTTTGTACTTATTAAATCGGTGTCTCCAAGGAAATAATATTGATAATTTTTGAAACTCCAAGAAATGTAAAAGGTATGCCTTAAACGTTTCTGGAAATCATTACCTTTTCGATGAGAAATCGACCAAAAATTACGTTTATGTGGCAGTGTTTTGACAGTTGTCATTTACAATTGTTTATATGCAGAATTATTTTCAGGAAAGGTTTCGTGCGATTTTCTGATGCTGAGTTGTTACATTTTCGAGTCTATAGCAACACAGAAAAAATGATAACTATCAGTGCAATCATAAATATTTGTCTTGGTGGCAATGGATGCTAAAGATTTGAGAACTGAAGCTGCCCTTGGTGAACGCAGTAGCGATGGCACAAGCAAATACACCCACATTGGAACTGCGCTTCCGTGCAGCAGCATCAAAAATTTTCCAGAAATATCTTCGAATCCTTTGGCGAAGGTGGAGACACCGACGTCGAGGCCGTGTGCTGTCATAGGCCCTGACAGAGTATTACCGCCGCTAACAAACACTGATGCTTATTTGAGAAAGGGCCATTATGAGCCATGGCCACCAGCAGAAAGTATGTTTCGTCATCCACCTGAATATCCTCACAAAACCTATCAGAGCCCTATAAGAAATATTTCACCAAGACAAACATTCCAAGAAAATATGCAACGCATAATGGTGGCTCCTACATACAATTCTGTTAAAACTAATGAAGATACAAATTTAGTATTAGATAGAAATGCATCATTACCTAAAAACAACAAGCTAAGTGGAGCTCCTGAAACCAAATACTGTGATGTGCCTTATTCTATTAATCACCTAAGTGACACTCAAAAAAATACAGAAATGTGTGTTTCAAATGTAAACAATGTTAGAAATTGCCCTCCCATATGGCATCCCAGTGGAATAAACATAAGGCCAACTAGACCTTATGGTGCACCGGAATTATCCCAATTTCCTGAATATGCTAACTGTGCTGTTTCAAGACCGATGACAATGCCAAGACCTCCACGCACCATGAATGAAGAAAATGGTCATCTCTTCTCGGAAAGCTTCTATCATCATGGAAATATCAGGTTTAAGCCATATCCTAATGTTAAGGACAGATATGCTCAAGCCAGGTATGAATATATAAATAATTACCCAAACCCATTCCATCCACCTCCTCCTTTCCCTCGTAGTAAATATGATTTGCAAAAGCCAGTACCTTCCCATACATCATATCCTCAAGTTCCTATAAAATATTTGGAAAATAGAATAAGTGATTCTGTTATTGATGGTTACCAAAGATCTAACCAACAAATTAATTATAATGCTCCATACCAAAATCAAATGATACATCCAGCATATGGGCCTGTGCTACCAAATACTATACAAAATAAATTTTATCCATATCCACAAGATAAAACAATGCCTGCAAACAAACTACCTTATGAAAATAATAAACTTTATGTTGACTATGATAATTCTCAAACTAAAAACTATCCTATCCCTGAAAACTTTTATATGAATGAGACCAGACCACATGTTAAAAGTCAAGTTATAATCCCTAATTACCCTATGAATATGCAGCATGTACCACCGCATCCATATTATCGAAAAGAAAATCATTCAGCAAAGAGCTATGACTATATTCCCCACTTCAGTATTAATACTAACAATCATATAACTAGAATGACACCTCAGTTTTCTCCCAATTCAGTTGCTATCTCACCATCAGATTCAAATACTAGTAATGAGACTGCACATACTCAATCCAATTTATTGGAAGATTATGGGTATGTAAGTCAGTCTTCGAGTGCAAGTATCAGAAGTGTTGATTCTGGTATTCATAGAATAATGCAAAATGATATTCATAGAAGATACAGCTATGGCTATCCATCCATGGTACAGACGCCTCCTTTCTTAAATAAAATGCAATCTAACATCAACTCTAATATTGGTCCTAAAGACAAAAAAGGGATAGATGTCAGGCAATTTTTACAGATGTGGAATGAAGGAGATGATGAAAATACCATTCATTCAAATGAGGCTCAAATAAAATATAATTCTAGTTCAAATAAATCTTCAACTCAATTTGAGAATAAAACGCAAGAGGAACTCTATGTTTTAGGACTAGTGAATGTGCCAAGTGAGGAACTTGCTAAATATGAACACATTCAAAAAGTTTCTAAACTACCTGATAATATAAAAGGTTATAATAATATAGAGTTGTTAAAACAGTTTGAGGAAGCCATTGAATCTTCTAACTTGAATAATTTTAATATCAATAAAACATCTACGTCAAGGAACTTTCAATCGCCAAAAAGTTCTATGACTAGTATACCAGCAAGACCTATTTCGCCTTTAGATGTGGAGGCGAAAATAAGTCAGTCAGTGATACATAAAGAAGTCGGGTGCAATTTTGAGATAAAGCCATGTAGTCCAGAAATGATGAACGTAGAAGTTGCTGCTCCTGTTAGAAATATATTAGAAGAGCGAGTAATTGAAAAAGTGTCAAACCCATATCAATCACCTGCTTTGAGCAGTATATCTGAAAATGGGAGAAATTGTAATGTACCTAAACAAGATCAAGTAATTATGTTGAATGAAAATAATAAAATCCCCAGCTGTAAATTAATAAATACTCAGTGCTCAAACAATAATGCTGTGAATGTTGTAAGGGCAGACTACAGTTTACAAGACTTGGAAAGTAATTCTGGTGTTTGTCTTGCATCACTACCAAGACTTGATAATGATATTGAACTGAATTTCCCTGAAGTAAATCAACAATTTATTAATGCTAATAAAGAGACAGTAATTACATCAAAAGAGTCACAGATATGTTCTGAATTAAACAAATCTAATTTATCGACTCATGCAAAACATACTTCTGATTTGGATATTAAAATCTGTTCGCCTAGAGAATCAGAGAAAGAGTTTTCAAAATTAAGTAAGTATAGGAAAAACAAAAAAAGTGAATCTGAAGTTAAAGAACAACTCCTGGTAACCAATTCACAATTTTTACGTACTGATAGTGTAATAATAAAAAATCCAGATAATACAAAGTGCTTTGAAGATATTAATAAAGATAAAATTCAAAATAACCAATTAATTTTGAGTCCTTCAAATGTATTGCATTGTGAAACATTAAACGAAAGTGGAAACCATGTTCATGAACCAGAGATTGATACAGCAATCGACTTTAGTGTATCTAAAAGTGCGTCTGAAACAAACAGACAGATATTCACAGGAAATGACAATACCAACTCTAATTCTTGTTATTCTCATAATTTATCTGAAACGAAAAAAAACGTATTACAGTCAAATGAACATACTGTTGACTTTGATTCTTATAATGTAACTCGTAATACTTCTGAGATTATGGTGGACGACGTGACTCTTAACTTTTCAGATCCGCACAACAATAACAAAAGTCCCTTACAATGCACTGAGGAAATTAAGAAAAACATCACCCCTCAAATTTCAACTGAAGATGTACATGAAACTAAAGACAATATTCAAGAAGAAGAGCCTACTTTGGGGCCTGAATTATGTGATTCCTCAAGCATTCTAGGTAAAGAAAACGAATGTGACATCTCTTCTAAAAATTATTTCAAAAGAAAGCCCATGAAAAATTCAGAACACTTTACAGATTTGTTAAAAAATCCCATTAATTCAAGTTACATTGAAAAAACCAAAACTAAAGGCACTAATATAAATTCTGAATCACCACCTACAAAACCAGATTCTGGTCACGATAGTGATCTTAATAAAAAAAATGACACAATTACAAATGATTTAAGTATGATTGAGCCTGAAACTGTTAGCCAAGAAAATCCAAAACATACAGTTATGTCCAATCCTTACAGCAACAAGAATACAAAAAATTCAAATAACCATAATATTGAAAGCAGAGCAGAAACCACAGTCGAAGGATATCACCCCAACACCCTAGAACATTTTTCTGATGAATCAGCTAATGTCATGAGGGACAAGCCTTCTAATAATATAACAAATATAGGTAAAATTAAGAGTTGTAATTTAAAGAAAGAGCTTTTTTCTCCATGGATTCAAAAGCTAATAATACAGAGTGGGAACATTTTACTAAAAACTCAATCTATAGAAAAAAACATTGCAGATATAAATACAAAAAATATAAATTCACCTGTAATGGATTATTGTGTCTCAACTATATGCAGTGAAGAAATAACAAACTCGGTGCTGAACACAAATATATCAAATAATATCACAGCAGTGTCGGAAATTCCCGAGAAGCACGACCTAACTCCCCATATAGAATCAAAATATGTAAATGGAGATAAAGATACATCTATCATTAATGAAGATGGAGCTGTCCAATCAATTAATATTCCGGTAGACGTACCTGAGGGTAACTATTGTACAGACATACAAATCAAAAATGAAATATTAATACATAATATTGAGAAATGTACTGTAATATCAAACAACGAGGGCTTGGTGAATAAAAATATAATTATACATTCGACTCAACAAAATGAATCTATTCCAAAGTCGAATATTTCTAATGAAAATCTTAGGGTGTCTAGTGAAGATGAGGAGATTGTGGATAATATGGCAACAAAGAATACCATTGAACAAAGTAAAACGAATTTATCACAATCTTCTTCAACACAGAAACAATTAAATACAGACAATGGTAAAGATATAAAAGATGTAATCGATCTTATTAATATTGAGGACCTAAAAGAACCACTTAATGAGTCTACGAAAGGTGGAGACGCCGAAGATCAGAAAACAATTGAATATTTCACTGAGCAACCCGAAATAGTACGCCCACTTAAAACTGTTACAGACAAAACTACAAATGATTCTAATAAAAACCTCGAAAATGAAGATAATAATTATGAAGTCAGTCAATCATTAAATGTTACCTGTGAAGAATTTGATAATGTGTCTATTAAGCATTGTAAATCTGAAAATGGCGAAAACATTATATCGGAGCAAAATGAAGTATTTCAACAGGATGATAACATTGTCAAAAAGTATGAAAAAGTAACGAATGATAGTACGGATAGTGAAAACAAAAATATTAGTGCTAAAAATAAGCTTACCGAATCATCAAATTTTACAATTGATAGCGTCAAAAATGCTTCTGATAAAGATTTTAACTTGAAATATGACAAAAATAGGTTATGTCTGCAGGAAAACAGTAAAACACTTGAATCATTTAATAATGTTTGCAAAAAACAAAATAATATAAATAATAATGCATTTATTGAATCTGCAAACAATACAACCGAAAGTGCTAATAATGAGTCTAATGAAAATTTTAATGATAAAGTTGACAATAATACTGAATCTTTATCAGAACAAAAGGAATCTATTGAATTATTAAACGTAAACAAAGAAATACATCTTATTTCACAAAGTAAAGTTGATCAACTATCGAACAATATAACTGAGAAAACTGGATGTAATGACTGCAACGATCCTATAGAAACAAATATTAGCAGCACCAATACATCTCGAGGAGATTTCGAGGAGAGCGCTAACATATTATTTCGATCGAAACAAAGTGAAGAAATTGAAGCATCAATAAATATTACCGAAAAACGAAAAAAAATAACTGATATAGAATTTGGTAGTTTCACTTCACACAATGAAGGTGATTCACTACCGAATATTATAACAGAGAAACGTGAATCTAATTATTCTAATGAGCAATCTCAAGACGATTACGAAGCTAAAGATGAGAGTAATGGTCTACGTTTTTTGGAACATAGTGAAGTAATTGAATCACTAACAAATTCTCCCGAAAAACAAAACAATGTATCATTGAAAGAATTCGATAATAAATTTAAAGATAATCTCACTTCACCATGTGATATTGATTTACTATCTCATAGTAGAACTGAACTGAAAACTGAAATATTTTTTTCTGAACAAAATAAAAAATCGGAGGAAGGTACCGCCACAGATGAAGTCGGCGAAGAAAATGAATCGCCCAATATATTGACTGATAATAATACGTGTCATAAAAACGAAAAAGAAAGAAATGTTTCTTTCACTATTGAACGTGAAATAAATACGGTCGCAGAAAGTGAAGTCCAGGAAAATATAGATAGTGCTTCATTAGTTGAAACAGACAATCGACGCATTATTGCCGAGCAAGATAATGTATGCTTTATACAAAATATTTGTGCAGAAGTTGAATCTGATCATGTTGATTCATTTGAACAACGACGAAGAAACCTAAAGCGATCTTTATCTGACTCTGCTTTAGATATGATAAATCATGATATATCTGATGAATTTGGAAATGGAGTTTCAACATGGTCAAAGAGACGTAGGAAAAATAGGGAATATCTTAAATTTGGCCACCCAGATTTTCTTTCTCAAAGCATCTACGATAGCCAAAATAATAGACGAAATTCTGTATCTTCACTTCACAACGAAGATGATCTATCATTTTGTATAGTTATTGATGACGATTATGTTATTACACAAGGTGATGAAGAGAAAATTTGTTTTGCTCAAATTTCAGAAGATCTCCCCAGCGCGGAAGAAGCTAATATAACTGAAGATATGACATCCTCTACTGAAATCTTATTGTGCCCTCAAGAAGTTCCTGGTGAACTATCTGAATCGTTTGTGTTGGAGATTTCGGATGAGAATGACATCAATAAATCCTGGGTAGATGATATAGGCTGCATTGAAACAGTAGTTAGTGATGATGTAGCTGAAGATGTCACCGTTAGTGCTTCGTCTTCTCCTAAAGATGAAAATGTCTCTGCTGATGATGATGAGATAGATGTATACAATAGCACTTATGAACATACAGATAAAGTTAAATACATATATGGAGATAAAATGTGTAATGATGATGCTGAATTTGTGGAAACTTTATATCGAACTCCCCAAATGAATGTTAATAAAACCCTTTCAAATAGAGAATCTCACGCATCGGATGAATACTATGAATTTGACGAATATAATTATTTAAAAAGTTGCTTTGATTCAAGTTCCACCAGCAAAGAACTAAATGACAAATCTAGCTTAGCAAATGATAATATTGAGTCTTTTTGCAATGAAGATGACATTCGACCGAAGATGTTAGAGCATCATCTATGCGAAATTGAAAATGATATAGATACAGCTTTAGTACGTGTTGTGAAAACTCAAGACGATACCGTTAACTCTTGCGAATCAAGTATTGATAATGTATTTTTATATAAAGAAGGAAGAGATCCTCTGAATATTGAAACACCTAGTTCGCCGGAGGTGTCATCGACAACTTCAGAAGAAAAAAGTTCCTCGATATTATTGAAAATAACTAATTACAAAGGAATGAGGACGTCTCAACTTAACAAAACTAATCTAGAAAACAGCAGTAAAAACTGTTGTAAATTTACAGAAAACATAAATTACACAAACTTTAACAATTCATCAAAATCAAGACCGTTAATTACAAAAGGAGCTCAAAAATATATTCCTCCACTTAATGAAACCTTAGGTGATCTTAAAGTGAAACTTCCTTTACCACAACAAAGTCTTTTAAAACTGAAACAATTAAAAATAGAAAGGACTGCACCAAAGCAAGTCATAAGCCAAAGAAGAGAAATTCCTAAGAAACCTAAACCAAGATTCGAAGATGTCCTCAAAAGTATTGACGAAATTCAATTTAAAATGCATAAAGAAAAAAATAAGAGATCGAAGAAATCTGTTCCTAAAGTTATTATTAAAAAAACCGAAAATGGGTCGCACTATGCTAGTGTGCCAAATAATACCTATTTTAATCCAGACTTGACTGGCAGGAAATGGCAACCATGGGTGTTTATAGAAAAAAATAGTTTCATTGATAAAATGGCTAATAGGAAAAAAACCAAAGCTATATATAATCATAGAAAAAATACATATGTGCTTGCTGACAAATTTCAAAAGTATAAATCTGTGTCAAGTTCAAAGTTTATTATAACGCAGCCAAAATTAGATGAGTCTTCTATGGGACATCTAAAATATACTATTAAGTTAAAACACAGTTATTGAAGGTAGTTTGTTTGCATCCTAATAATAATGTACTTGGATAGCTCTTAACTTTACTTATAATCCCACCCTTTTGTTTGGTCTCGATAAAGCATTCCTGCATTTTCAGTAAGTAATATAGGTTTTTATTGTTTATGGTTACCCACGTTAGTTCACTATCTAGTTAATTAAAAGTAAGCCAAATTTTAAAATAAGTGTGATATAAAAAAAAATTAGCAACATTTGTGTTTAGTGCAATTTGATCTGATGTTTTTGTTATATATTACTGTTTCAAATTTTATATCGTTTTTAACCATTCCATTTATAAAGCAGCCTATTGTTTATATTATGTTAAATTATTTAGTTATTGAGCACGTTTTAAGCACTTTGTTAACCAATAAAAGTATTATAGGTAATTTATTTATGATATGTAATACTATAAGAGTGCATACTTGAGAAAAAATACAACACTATTACTACAGACTACATACATCCGCGAACTATATTACTATTTTGTATCTATTAACAAAGTCTCCAACTGCAAAATAAGACGGAATACTAAAAAAAATAGTCATTTGAACCTGCATTACATTAAAGCACTACCTTAAATTCCCATTTTACTTGTTACGAGTATGTAGAATTGTAGATTTAATACTTGTCGCGAACTGGTAAATCTTGTTAAATATATACTGAAATTCTATTTATTTAGGCGTATGTTAAAATAACCATATAAAAGTCATATCAACTCAGACAAGGATCTTGAGGAAGAGGCGTAAAAAGATAAAATCCAAAAACTACTATAGTGGTTCATTTAGTCCCGATCGCATCATTAGTCTTAGTCAAAATATGTACGTGCGCATTTCACATCTATACTAATATTATTAAGCTGAAGAGTTTTTTTTGCTTGGTTAAACGCGCTAATCCCAGAACTACTTTTTTGTTGGATAGTGCACTTAACGAGGAAGGCTATAGGCTATATAACATCACGCTACGACCTGTAGGAGCGGAGCATCAATGAAAAATTTTGTGAAAACGGGAAAAAAATATTCCATTATAGCGCTTCCGTTGCGTGCGCTGTGGTTATGGTTAAAGTTACACAAAATTATATGATGGAATTGTTCCCCTTTAAAAGTTCTAGAAAAATAGTCCGCGACAGCATATATATGTTCATCTTTAAAGTTTGACTCACTATATCCTCTTTCCTCAAATTAACCACATTCATCGACTGTTAGGCGACACGAAGTTCGCCGGGTTATCTAGTAAAGACATATTTGCAATAGCATACTAAAAATATTTTTCCGGGTTAGGCTTGGCTTGGCTTGCCCTCTGTTAATTATTATAAAAGCAAAGCTAAGATCGAAGCTGAAATAAACTATACGACAAGTGCTGTCTACTAAGTTTTTAAAGCGAATTATTTATATTTTCATAACTTCAGAAACCTAACTTAAAACGTTCACGTTCAACAGTTGCATAGTTTTTAAAGCAGCGGTCCGAAAAGAGTCCTGCGTGTTAGGTGCATATTGAGATTATGATTAAAAAAATACGCCACTTCGCTAATCCTTTCAAATTCTTTTATTAAACTACGCCAACTTTTAAACATTTAAGTAACGACACCTATAGTGCTTTTTGGTTTATGTAATCCAATTCTGGGATTGCCCACCTGTAGGCATTGGCTAACTTCTTTGATATTAACAGTGTACAACTAAAAACAAAATTACATATCCATCGATTCTTTTCAGAACAAGTATCTTAGTGGCGTTATAATAAAGCAGTAGTGGATCCACTTATGAGCACGGTGATTATCACTTCCATCTGTCAAAAGCAGTTAGCGAAAAGGCCTACTGGTTCCACACCATTTTAAAGCCATAACATTTTTTTAGTTCATTCATTACATTGGTCCAAAGTAGTCCAAACTTTTGATAAAATTATTTGGGAGTAGTTTATCAACATTAGTTTGTTCTAGGTTGTTAGTGTTTGTATGACCACAACCATTGGTAATGGTTAAAATTGCTCACGTAACTGTAAGCACGTTGTTATTGCGTATAGATCAGTTGGAGCAAAATGAATGTGCTTTATATGTAGTGTGAAGTACAAAAAATGCACAGAATATTAGAGGTTTATATTATAATATGCATAATGGAAGTAATTATTAATCATGTTAACACACAAGATAAGTACTATAAAAGTACAGTTCTTGTGCATCATGATGTTTGCCGTTGCAGTAAAACGGGAATAGGTATAATAATGTACGTAGGTAGGTTATAAAATCAAAGCGTGAAATAACCTAAGCCAATACTCAAAATAATAATAGCAAAGAAATTTCACATTTGAAGACAAACCAATCTGATAAACTAACATCAAACTTTTTGCTTGCGAAGAAATAACTATTGACAGATATTTTATCATTACCTGGTTAAATAAATAAAAAATAAACCCATTTTAAACCTATAAAAATAACAGATTTCTATAAAATTTTTTGCTCCCAGGTTTTTTTTCTAGAAAATATAAAATTTGCCTTTTTAGTCATAGACTATGCCTTACAAAAATTATTGAGCTAATTGTGCCTTTTGTATTTAGCAAAACTTCCTAAAAGCACCAAAAATAAACTATTTCTTGATCTCAGATATTGATTCGCCATTTCATACATTTGCCTGATTGTGCCTAAACGAGGTTAATGTTATTGAGACATACACTATTTTTATATTGTGTACAGGGTGTTTAAATAAATTAAATATACCAAATATATGCTTTTAAGTCCAAGTTGATATGTTATAATAATATGTTGCAAGTGTTGCCTTCAATTTAGGATTTAGAATAAATGCTACCTATTTAAATATTGATAATATATGTATATATATGTTAAGAGGGTTGAACGATAGTTGGACTGTTTATTTATTAAAGATTTTATTATTAATGTAAAATATTAGTTGTTAAGAAAATGTTTAGATATTAAGTTGTGATCCAACATGGATTATAAATGTACAAAGGGACGGGGCATTCTTATGAGAAATGTTCAGCTAAAGGTTTTGATATTTTATAGTTGAGGCTGAGTTTGTAATTAGTTTTCGTCCAGACATATCAGCATAATATACCTACAGCGTGGATGTTGTTTTTTTACGGATCTTAGTAACACACTATGTTAATATTTTTGTTTGCCATAGCCTTCAAAAGGTCGCCAAAGAGGTTATTATAACATTGTTGAAAGATAATTTTATTAAAATAACTAAACTTAGGAGGTTTTATCAGAATATAATTACAAAAATAAACCCATTGTATGGTAATGTGTAAATGATTACTAGATAAAAAATAACAGTCGTTGATACACACTGCACGAATACGACTGAACTAATTGTTTAATATTTTACTTTGTTGATAGATTTTGTCTTTGCAACACTAATGTGTGAATAGTTATTTCATTTTCATGCACTTTGATGGCCATCTGTAAATTTGTGATTAATTATTTGTATTGTGATGGTAATATATCACATAATATTTATGGGTTATGGATTTTGTTATATATATATAATATATATTAATTTAGATATAAGTGTTTAGATTATTTGTCGTTTACATGTTAAAGCATATCTATATGCAGTAACGCACGCGATGGTGTTCCCTAATAGATGTAATATAAAAAGGTATGTACCTATTCACTGTTTTAAACTGGGTGGTATATAATAAGGATAAATAAACGGGGTCATATATACCTATGTATTGGCGTGTGCTATGTTTTGAGAAATTTTTCTGAATTGACCAAATATATGTGTTCTGAATAAAAATGCATTTTATTGAATAAGAAAACAAATTTATTAGTTATATGAATATTTATACAGGAATCGTTACTTTTACTGCTTCTTGTCGAATAGAACTGATGAGCTCTTGGTTGATCAGGAACACAAAACGAAGTCCGGAAATCTGTGAGAAGAATATTAAATATATTAACTATCTAATTTTATAGTAAAAAGTGCCCACTAAGAGGATGGCGTATGGTAATAATAATTATGGAGCATTAAATGGCTCTTGAGCTACTATTGCATAACGTCTCTATCGGCATTTTATAGAATAATAAGGATATACAATAACCACGTTTTCTTGCTTTCAACACTGAACTTATTTGATTGTAAATCTGTCGCACAGTATAAGTTTAAAAATGCGTTGATAAACATTTGAAACTTCGGGTCTGTCTCAGCCCCTAGCACCGCGATATGATATATAGCTCGTTTTTATGACGCGCAATTGTCAAATTACTACGGAGTTTGGCAGTTAGACGCAATAATAAACGTAATATATGGAAATTGTGGTGCTCGTGCTACAGGGACTAATGTTTTTACAAAAAACGAGCGAGCCTAACAGTAGTCGCCTATGATGTGTAACATTTGAAACCTCACCTTATATTAGTAAAAAAAGAAATAAAACCTACTACAAAAGGAATAAGCCATTTGAAATTTATGTTCTAAAATCAAATCAAATAGCGCGCGCTTGCGCTGCTTCCTGTTACCCTCTTCCGTCCCATTTGCAAAATGCAAGAACAAGACCAAGACTGAATTTGGGCAACACTACGATTCATCTATTTAAGCGTAAAAAAGTCGTATTTATAAAAATAAACATTCGAATTTATAATATTAAGTAGTAGGTATTTTTTATTAATATGCTCTAAATGTCATAGGGTTGACATACTTCAATAACGCTATTATGGTTGAGCTTCACTTTGTTGCCTTGGAGGATCGGCCGCCCGTCGACGAATATAGGCCTCTTGCCCTCCGAAGACATGAAGAAGTCACCAGTGTTGCGAAGACGAATGGTCGCCTGCTTACGGGAGACCTTAGCCGCTGGCCCCTCGAGGCTCAAGTCCACGTCGATAGTGTGGTCCCGAGTACTGCGACCGACAGCAATCTAAACAAAATGTAATATATATATATATATATATATTTCAAGTCCTGCTTTTATGATTCACAATTATTTATTTAATGTGCTACTTAGTTAGCTGAATTTCTTTTCTCCAAAAACGTATAGTCATAAAGAAGTATTTTTCAAAGCCTATTTGGGTCTCGTCCCACAAAAAGCCAATGTAAGATAGGATATTTTTATTACAAATATTATATATATATTACATATATATATATATATATTTATAAGGATATTTTTTCAAAGGCTTAGAATCACTATAGATACGATCTAATTGAAGTTTCGATTACCGATGTTAAGTTGATCGTGTTAGTTTTGCTGTTTGTATTTAATTTTATGAAATACATTACAGACAATAGATCGTAGTTTCTTAAAAAACGAAGCGTGTGGAAACAAATGGTATACCTACGCATGTTTCAGTATGCAACTGGCGTAATACTTTAAGTATATGTTACTGTAACACGTACTCGTAAGTTGCTTGGTTTTAACTGTTGTGAGACTAAGCGCATACCCATAGGTAGCAATTCGCGTTTTTAATTAATGCGGAGATCGATTATCTCAAACTGCAACTTCCATGGAAAGATAAGAAATAAGATTTCTTTCTAAAGGTGACAGCAGACATATCAACTCGTACATGGATCGTCCGTCACTGTACAACACGATCCGTACCCCTAGCACGAACCAATATCGAATTCGTATCGTTTGCGAGTCCGAAATGTCATTATCAAATGTGTACTGATTTTTAAATCTCGTTAAGTACTTTGTGCCGCTGTTGTTCAATTTTTCATACAAAATTTGACATTGACATTTCTGTTTGCAAACTATTCGAATTCGATAATGGTTCGTGCTAGGGGTACCGTTCACTATTCTTTGTATTGTACGAAACTCCCTACTGTAATGCTGAGTAATCGGAATCGTATCGTTATCGCCACGCCTCATGAGAAGCTCGTGTTCTTCGTAAGGTGTTTTATTATGTTTTATATGTGTGTTACATAGTGTGTGTTGCAGTAGGGGGTTTCAAACAAAAAATACTAAAGCGGCTCGAGTTGAAACGGTGACGATCCCTTTCCCAGTTGATATGTCTGCTACGACCTTTAAAGTGAACCTAGAACGGATTTCAAGGTGACTATCAGTGCATTCTTCTGCAATTACCGAAGGTAAGCAAATTTTGAAAAGACCGGCAGCTGAATGGATTTATCAATGACTGACAACTAAGTCATAGTGATTCCGTTGCTTGTAAATCAGTTAGAGGTACCCACCAAACCACAATAAGCCCGCCCGTGTTCGGTGCATGCCGAACTCAAACGACTCGCTTTTTTGTTGGTTTTACAACTCCGAATCGTATTGCAGTGTGACTAGATTCAAACGAAATCAACATTTCAAAATAAAAAGTCTCCTCGCGCTTGGCCCACCTTTTTTTTCCTCAGGAAAATGCATACCTAAGTGCAATCACCCTCTATTTCTATCCATTGACTAATCGTGTTACTTACATGACTGCTAATATTCGAATAGATTAAAACTTTTTTTTATATTGGTAGTTAAAACATCATTAAAAAAATACCAAGTACCAAGTAATTTTAGAATTTTGCATTAATTTATACCCTGATTCACTTCTTTCATTAGTTTCGTCCGTTCCATCTTCATTATTTTTAAAAAGGCCCTCAGCGTATAAAATAATAATGAAGGTAAGTTAAATACATTAACACTATTAGGTATGAATCTTCTATTTGACTACCTCCAAACAAACTCGTAGAATAATTAATTAGATATATTCACGCAGGTATCTAGTTATGAGTCGTGTGTCTGTTAGGTCTACTGATATATAAATCAATTTATACATATGAAAATATACTTCTTGTAGTTATTAGAAACACACTGCAACGAACAATCGAATATTCACTGTTTGAATAAATTACAGTTTTGTTATACACGCACACAGCAATTAAACGCTATCGAAATCGGAAAGCCATTATAGCGATAGGTATGTAGGATTAATACTTAAATGGTTGGTTTTGACGATGCAAAATAAAACTAATACCTATATTTTTTCGTCCGTTTAGAAAAAAAAATAGGGTTCCTTATTTGCTCAAATGACGACAACGGAATCCTAAAACTACGCTATCGGTTCGCAATGCTATGGCGGTGGAGACCTTAAACGGAATAAAAGGGTTCGCTAAAAAGGATACACAAGATCTTTCATAACAAAAAAAACCTTGGCGGTGGAAACCACTGCTGATGAGGCCACCCAAGTAATTGGATTACTGTGCAATCAAGTATGCGATAGTCTGTCATGCAGCGTTCAGCAAGAAGTTCAGACCTTAGCCCATAGAGCGCTTCTTGCTCCCGTACCATTTGAAACGGTAGGTTCGTTCTCGAGGACTCGCTGCCACGCCTACCCAGAAGCAGTCATCAGGTAACTCTAGATTTTATTTGTTTTATTTTTTAGTGTAATTTATTTATTTATTTAACAACTAGTGGCCCGTCCTCGCTTCGCTTCGGTGTAGAGCTGTAGTGTAAACTATAGTTTTTGTTCTCAGGCTTGTGCTATAAACAATGACTTTATTTATACAGGGTGAAATTGAATGTTTTAATGAAACTTCGTGGGAATGTTGGGTTACGTATATAGAGTATCTCTGAATTTTTTCGGATTTTTTAAAAAATGATTTAAAATAAATTTTTGTTTTTTTTTTGTTATATTTTAAGTCCTTTCCTCCTTTTGGGTACTAAATAATTATTCTTTTAAAACATGCATACAGAGTAAGTAAAAAACAAGTAATAAGCACTACTAAAAAAGACGTAAAAACAGGTGACGGGCGGCCGGGAGCAATGACCGCTCCCGCCGTTGAATACCTTCCTGCCTACCTATCTAGGTATGCGCGGTGCACAGAGCAGTGAGCGAGCGGGCGGAGTCTCAAGCGCGCGTGCGTATCTTTTAAATTTGTGACAAGACAAGATTTGCAAATAATGCCTTGATTAGTTCTTGTTCTGTGCCCTCAATATAAGAATTTGGATATGGTGTGTTGTTATTGCGAGTGTCACGGAATACTCAGCAGAGCCACAAGGCTTTACGAAAGTAGGTTTGGTGATTTATTGGGAAGTTATAGAGAAAAAAATTAATAGGTACATCGGTCTCGTAAGTACTTTTGAATACCTGGTAATAAATTTCATTCTGACTCAAGTATTGAACTGCAATAAGTATTTCTTTTTGTTTAACTTTTGCCTATTTCCAATCGTGACAAAATTATTATTAACTTTTTAAGTTTTTCTCTGCTTAAGAGAAGATGACATTTGTGCTTATTATTTCAATTTCAATAAAGGCATCTAAGACGATTTTATTGTATTGTGTGGAATCAAACGAGTCAGCTGAGCTCTGTGTACGTACCTACTCACTCAACGGCTGGAGGGCGCGGTCGGTCGTTGACCCGCGGTGGAATTTTCCGTTTTTTAGAAGTGCTTATTTATTAGTTGTTTTTCACTGGATATGTAAGCATGTTTGTTTAATATGAATAACTACTCAAAAGGAGGAAAGGACAAAAAAATACACAAATTATAAATAAATACATGAAAAAAAATACTTAAAAAATCCGAAAAAAATCAGGCATACTCTATACTCGTAACCCAACAATCTCACGAAGTTTCATTAAAACATTCAATTTCACCCTATATAATTACACGTGTTATTGTGTATCAACCATAAAAGATAGACATATGCTGTTGCGGGATATTTTTTCGACAATTTTATGTAGAATATCTCCGTCATACATGATTTCTATGTAACTTTAACCATTAAGGCTGCACACGCGACGGGAGCTTAAAAAATGGAGTAACTTCTCCCGTTTTCCCAACATTTCCCTTCACTACTCTGCTGCTATTGATTGTAGCGTGATGAAAAGTATACTATAACCTG